CCATCCTCCGGCTGCAGCGAGAGATCCGCCGCAGCCTGCTTCACCATCTTCTCGAACTCGGCGTCTCGTTTCCGGGGGACGTCCAACGCGGGGAACAAATCGGCTATCAGGCCCATGAACACGGGCAGGTCGTCGGATATCACTTTGGGAATGTTGAAGTCTCGAAGGGCTCTCATCAGCACCTGCTCCTCCGGCCTTCCCGGATCTCCCCTCTTCAGACTTCCGGCGACCACCAGCACCGACTTTATCGCGCGCAATCCCCAGTCGTAGTGGTCCTGCTTCGACAACAGCTCTTTGCACAACGTGTACAAAGTGATGAACTTTCTCGCGAGGATTTTCGCATCCTGGAATCCCTCCGCGACCAGCATGATCTCGCAGATCAGCTCGAAATCGGGCACCACCATAGCACAGGGTCGGAACAGAGCTTTTAAATTCTCGGGCAGTTCCGTCCGGCCCGCGTACCCTGGATTCATCGTGATAAATATACCAACCGTTGCCTCCAAACCGATAATCTCACCCATGAAGTTGAACCTCTCCTTCCTGTGTCTGATTGCGTCCTGAATCGATTTCACCTGCACCGCGACCACCGACAACACCTCGACCGTGATCCGATTGAACTCGTCGAAACAACCCCAGGCGCCGGTCTGCGCCAGCCCTTTGTATATATTACCGCACGATTTGTAGTCCATCTGCTCCGAACAGTTGAACACGTACACCATTATGCCCAGAGCTCTGCCCAGATCCTTGGTAGTCTCCGTTTTTCCGGTTCCGGCGGGACCCGCCGGCCCGCCACCCATGATCAAATGAAGGGATTGAGTCAGGGTTATGTAACATCTGTCTGTCAGTGGAGTTATGACCAACCTGTATAAGGAATAAACGTATAACCTTCATCTTCTCGGTTTACAATCTTTAAGAATCTGTTCAAGTATTCGATATTATTCGCAAAATCGACTCGTTTCGACGGAAGAATAGAATCCGTAGTAGAATATGAAAGCTTGTTCTACGATAAATCTACATTTAAGTGAAAGTATTCACGTAATTTATGCGATGATAATTTAATAAATTGCCAAAGGCAACGTGGACTGGGCTTAATGCGCGTATTAAGATTTATTTATCAAAAGGAGAAAGAAAACCATCGAACCTGGGTGTATTCCCCAGATATTCGTGAGAGTATTTAAACTGCGCGTCGCAAATATTGGCGAAGCAATCCTTCTCCTTCTCGTCCCAACGGTGGCGGAGTTGACTTTGCCATTGGAACGCCTGCGACGTCTCCACCTTGGACTGCACCAGCTTGGCCACCACGTCTCTAGAATGCACGTCTATCGTGCAGATGGTCATCACTTTCTGCCTCTCCTGTTTCGTCAGCTCTCCGATCAGCAGCGTGATCAACGTGCTCAATTGGGAGATCTGTTTCTTCAGATAATCCTTCAAGGAATTGTCGTACCCCTCCTCCAATCTTGAAAACGCTATGTTCACCTCGGTGGTCCACCATATTTGAGTGCTGCACAGAGAGACTTGGGCCGGATAGTCGAACAACCATTGCTCTCGAGCCTTTTCCTCGTACGTTACCACCGCCTCGCCGAAGTAGTGCCTCATCGTGATCCTCATCACTAGTTGCAAACGGTTCAACCATGCTTCCACCGCTCCTTCGCAGCTCATCTCGCAGTTGGCGAATTCCACGTATTCCCCGTCTTTCGCGTACATACCTTCGGAACAGGAGCGAAGCAGAAAGGAAAAAGTAAAGATTCTGGGATCGTTTGTAATTAAAAAAAAAAAAGAAGAAGTAAAAAAAGTCCGTTCTCTCAAAGTTCTAAAATACGAGTTTAAATACGAACGATCGAGTTGTTCGATCGACCATGTACACGCGCGAGAAGAATTTTTCGAGAAAGAAAATTCTATCTCTTCTCGACGATTTCTTTTCAAGAATTTCTTGGAAGGCTCACCCGATACGCGTCTCGGCGAGAGAGCAGCCGCGTCATCGAATTTCAATCGGGCCATGGAATCGAACAGTTTCGTCAGATGCTTGGCCACCACCTCGGGCTGATTTCCATTCGACAGGATGTCCAACAGATCGCTGGACGAAACGAAGTAGAACCTCGGGAACGCCAAACGTTTCGTCTCCAAGTATTCGGCCAACGCTTTCTCGCAGAGGACCAATTCCTTTTCGAGGATGTCCAGGGAGGACGCAAGCCCATCTTTATTCGTCGCTTCGATTACGTTCAACGTCCTCCCCAGTTCCTCCGTCATTTGCTTGAACTCCTTGTCGATCCTGTCGAATCTCTCGGCATCCGTGGGCAATTGCCTGCGTATATCCTCGGACGAGGTGAAGATACTCTCCAGATGCGTCCAAGTTCGTTGCACCTCGAACCATATCGTGGTCACTTGATCCGCGATGCTCAACTTCCGCTGCCAACTGGACACCTCTTCCAGAAAATGGGCTATGAACTTGGAGGTGATGAGATTTTGCAACTGGACCTGTGCGGAGGAGGAAGAGTGGCGTTGGATCGAGTTTATTGTTTGGAGTTGGAAAGTTCTTTTTACCTGGTTTTCTTCCAGAGTTTCGATCAGTTCCTCGCTGGCTCTTATCAAGGTGGCGCCGGTTCGAGCGTGAATTTCTTTCTCGAACTCCATTTTCGACCAGGTGGCGTTCAATTCCTTCATGTACCTCTCCATTGACATCTCCTTCACGGCTTTGTCAACGATGTTCTTCACTTCCTCCTCGCAGTCGTGCAGATTCAGCTCGAGAAGATCGGCCAATGTGGTAGACTCGTCCATGACGAATTTTACCTTAAGCACACTCTTCGTTGGCTATTCACGTTTCTTTTGTCGTTCGAAAGCTCGAAGTGTTGAGTGAACGAGTTTGAAAAAATGAAAAAAGAAACGAAGCGAGGTGTGAGCGAAGAATCAAAACATTTTTCGAATCGCAAGATCGAATTTATTATTGACGAATGGAGGTATAAATACAGCGATGAAACGAGATACAACGAGAATATAATAGAAAATTATCGTTGAACGATTTACGTGACGCATGCATTGCATATTAATTGACGATTTGTCGTTCTAATTCGTGCTCGAATTATTGTAGAATTAGGTGCACGTTATTTACAGTGGACTTACGGTCATTTCTGGAGTCATGTTGCCCAATTTCTGTAACACCGATAGCGTATATACAGCGGTGCAACTAACTAACTAACATGTTGGTGATCATTTCCATCGAAATGTCTTAATCTTTGACTAG